ATGCAGTGACTGCAATGTATTCATCCCGGGGGTTGTTATCTATAATATTCCGTCCGAAGTGACATGCACTGTCAAAGATGGAATTTTTATCGTTCGTTTGACTTATGTGTGAGGTTTGTCCTGCAAAAAGTAAACACAAATTCCTAATCGCTTTCCATCTCTGACGTCGTTGATCGCTGGACAATCGACATGCCTTTTTTGTTTGCACCGTTTATTCCTAAATTCATTTTATAGCCAAATCTGGATTGATTAAATAGTATCACTGGAAGTATGTATGAGAAAGCTAATGAGCCAGTGACAGGTACTACAATACCGGCATGCCTTAGAAACACAGCAGATGTTTGTTCGACAGAGTTCTGTGAGAGACACGTAAAAATAAAATCGTCTTGAAAATCACCGTGGCTGTTACAGCCGACGGACTGCACAATGAATTCAATCCGGAAAAGCCATTCACTCCAATTAACTAAAAGGACCATCTAATTGCAGTCAAGTATGACTTAGAAAATCGTCATGGCATTGTGTGCGTGCTCATTTGTTTTCTAACCCGGCGAGAGAGAAAGAGGGGCTAGTTTCAGTCGAGTGTAGAAAATGAACGGGAAATCGATCCGCTTAGGGTTCATTCATCATTAAAACTTATTCTTCCGTCGAGCAGCCTCATCTTATCGATTGCAATCGACCGATCCATAAGCATAGAAGAACCGAACCGACTCATTAAAATGTCTTCGTAAAAAATGTGAGCTCGTGTTTCTTTGTTGGCGTGTGTGTGTGGTGTTTACATGCATATATTCGTGTTTTCAAGTCCTTGGTTGGCAGTGGACATGCAGGTCTTGTGACCGAGGTTCTAGCCAGATTGTGCGTGTGTATGTGTGTGCGTGCGTGTGTTCGTGTTTTTGAATAATATTTGGCCACGAGGTGAATCAAACAGGATAAAATGAAACAGCTGACCGAAGAATTAAAACATATCATTGGATATTCACAGGTAAAGAAATAAACGGAGAGCTCAGCGATCGTTCGACCGACTAACCAACCAACCAATCAACCGACAGACCAACCAACTGGCAAAACAACAAACGAACCAACATTCGATTGCAGACAGAACTAAACTAATTATATGTTCAACCTTCTTGTTTCGTCGGTCAATAAATAGTTCAATACAGGTCAGATACGTGCGTCAATGCCCCCCCCCCAGATGATTTTGTTTTTGTTTTGTTCGTTCAGCACCACAATTCTCTTCTATTCTAGGGATAATTTTATGAACTTATTCTAATCCAAACGAATGCGAAATCGATTTAAACGGATTGAATGAAAATAGAGGTGAATCAAATGCAAAATATGTCGTGTTATTTTAAACTAACATGACGAACGCTACTAACCACTGAGTTGTTTTTCATATTGACAGAGATGAATTTGCCCCCCCCCTCTGTCCGTCAGTGCAGTGCAGTTCTGCCGTTGTAAGCATTTGTTGTGTTCTATTCGAATGATACACCATTGTGCCATACTTTTGATAATTGTCTCGTACAAGATAATCCGTGCCTAAATCAATTTTTCCACTTCGGGCACTACAGGTACCACTACTGGGTGGAAGCCGTTTTTCGTATAGGCGTAGCATATTCTCACTTCGATTATCATCGGTCAGAGTTGCACTGAGGAGGAACCGGTGGGCAAATGCGGGTGAGTTAGGGACGATCACAATGAGGGACAGGAAGCGAACTGTGAGGATAAAACTGTAGGATGAGTACCTTGTTGAGAGATATGATAGTATTTGGGATTACTGTTTCAATCATAGCTTGATTAGTAGATCGATCAACCGGCATTGGATTCTGTCTAAGAATCAGTTTATATCTACATTTACCAGTGTAAGTGTTGGATTACGATCTGGAACGAGACCAGGTTCGATAACCGAATTCAGTCAGTGATGTGAAGTGGGTGGCCGACCGGGTTGGATTCATGAGTTTGAGGTCATTAGACAAGCTGGATTGTATTAGCTAACGCTCGACTATATCGGTAATCTAATTCACCTCGTCGTAAAGCACCGGAAAAAGGTGGAAAAGATGTTTAGCGCAACAACTTTAGTCTACCTTGGTTTGTTTATCATAGTGCGTGCAGTTTTCGATCAATAAGTAGTGATTGGCTCATCGCACGAGTGTACAACAAAGCAAGCCGATGATGTGGGCTAATAAATGCGTTGACCGGAAAGATTATGCTCCCATTATATTTTTGCGGAACGAACAGTCCTGATAACATCCTGTTTATGACCGATGGGTCGATGCACAGGTAGAAAAATTGCGGTATCCGATTACGGGAGCGTCACTAAACCACTTGCAATCATTTCCGGTATCTACCATCCGAAAAATGAATAATAATGAGTGACTGTGCAACAGAAGTTATTCACTTTCGCCAATTATGCAACCAAAGTGAGAAATATTACATTTATCACCACATTGGAATTAATTCCGGAATTGTTTGACACAACCATAAGTAGATGTGCAAAATAAAGCTTTCGATTATTGATGAAATTCATATATGGAGAACTATATGTAAATATGAACAAAGTAATAAGTATTCAAGCCATATCGCTTCAACCCCCGAGCTAGCGAATATTGCATTTCATTGCGCGGATAGCTTGGAAAAGCTGTCATACCGTTGGTCGTGCGAAACGTATTTTTCTTATATCATCGAAGAAGCAAGTTTGAAACACATTTGAATAACCGAAGTGTGGATTTTATCTAAATGTGATCTAGGCTAACGGGCAACAATGGATGTAGAAAGATCAAAACTGTATACAATAAACGTTTTCCTTATGAAACTAACGCAGCTAGCTAACTTATCGTTCACGCAACACCATGCAGGGACAGATACACGACTATACGAGCAGCGCGAATAAGTTGACTTATTTCAAATTCCCATTTTGAGGTGATTTGCTGCTGCTGCTGCTGCTGCTGCTTGGAGGTTTGGAATCCACGAATGTGTTATATTTGTGTGTCAAACTTCCTACGGAAACGGCATTAAACAATTCAAGGAAATTCTGAGTGAAATTTAAATTTATGAGTTGAGTTACATTTTCATTTTATGAAAGTTTCAAAAAGTGATTTGTGCTCATTTTGATTTGACCTTCATTTAGAATAAAATAAATTTATTATTATTTAATATTACCTATATTACGCTACCGCATAGAACTATTTTCCGGCAATTGGACTGTATATTTTGGTCAAAATTGGTTACATTTGTATTTTACTGATAAAATTGTATATGCCATTACAAGGCAACAAATTTTCCCCTCAATTGTCTGTGATCTGTTAAGATGTGGCTGAATAAATCGTTTAGAGAACTAACAGGCATCGGATACAGGTATATAGGTTTGTGAACATGGAATCACTAACTAGGGTCCACTAACCTCCGGTAAACTGAGCACTTTTTCGTGCAATTTATGCATCAATAATAATAATTTGTATATAGTGCAAGCACTATTTAATAGCGTTTTTCACTGGACGGAACTTTTTTTATCCCCCCGCCCCTGTCTTGCTTCTCTTTGTTCATTTTAGCTCCCAGCTCTCCACCGCAGATGTTGCATGCAAGTGTGGTGTCACCGAACTCCATTATGGTATCATGGAAACCGCCACTGGAATCCAATGGTCGTATAACGGTAGGTGGTCTGCGCAACGTTTCCATATGCATGCACGCACACACATACGGAGAAATCTCCATACCTCTTTCACAACCATCAATTGTAAGAGAAATAAACTGCGTTACCCTCATGCGGTAATTCAGGAAGAAGGGCGTGGGAAGTTTATATGCACACCGTGTTCTCCAATCTACATTTTACATTTTTGAAGTGAAAGCGGGTACCAGTTATTGTTTTTCAACTGTTTCGTCGAAAAAGTCGTTTGATACAAGCGCTGACTGGTACACACGTATTTAATTACTTTGGTTTACTTGAATCCAGAAATGTAAGCATTAGGTGCAGCACACGGAGTCTATTATGAATACCATCATAGGCCATCATAGAGAGGTGAGTTCGTTCAGAAGGCCAGGTCGTGTTTGTATCGATAATCTCAGGGAAAATCAAAGGCTTGGATTCAAAACTTTATTTTAATAGTCACACGCCCAATGCAAATAGTATCACGGCAAATTGGTGTGTACCAATTCGAGTGCATTCGGATGGATTCAGCGAAACCTGATGAAACATCTCAAATGCTTTACTTGGGTTCGACATGGTGGTCACTGTTGACCATTTGGGAGTGCGGAACGCACCTGAGAGTGATCTGAAACAGCGTCATCCAACTCAACTATGNACTATGCAATTGATGTTCTCTCATCCAAACAACATATTTAAAGTTAATTTTTAACTTGTTAGCTTGAGACATTGAAGAGCATCAAGGAAAAATTATACATACCAAAGTAACCCCTTACGGAATTTTCTGATTTAACTCACAGGTACCTGTGGGTACTGGTGTGGGGGTAGGTTTTATTGATTTCGACTGACCACGCCTCCGATTTTGTTTCCACCCATGGTTATCACTTCACCCATACTCCCAGGAACAACGAGAGTAGAGTTTCTCTTTTGTTTTAGCTCACTCATAAGTAGTGCATGCAGAATGATCCACTGGGACTTGAGTTTCGAACATTTTGCATAGACGGAGTTTGGTTCCCCACTGCTGCAACTAGTTCACACATGGGCTGTTGTTTCTCTATTCACACCTGTGCCCCATGACAATTGGAAACTTCTTACCTTTTTTCTCTCTAACATTTAGTTTCATTTAAAGCGATCGATTTCAGGCGATTTCTTTGTTTCCATCTAATCCGGTGACCATGAGCATAGAAAGTTTCTCGCTTAGATTCCAAGATCTATAAAATTGGCATAATGCACTGATAAAATAAAACAACTCCGTCCATCTGTTTAAAACTAACACCTGATATGAGCGGAGGAAGGGTTATCCCTGACAGATTACCATTATACGGTGCATCCACGATAATTTCGGGTGAGTTCAATAGGATTCACGGTTGAAACTCTACAAGGATATTTGACTGCAGCTTTGAACAAATACGGAAGTATCATCCGTACTAACTACGGATTATCAATTTTTTAAAACCACCTCAGTCTATAACATATATCTCCGGAAATGTTTCCTAGATGAAAAACCTTTGGTGGTTATCGAGTTGAAGTGCTGTAGATGAAATGAATGAGAATATGTCAGTGTTTTTGACGGAAAATTTAGTGATGATTTTTTCGTGTTCAGCGATTTTTATGAACTGGATAGAAGACGGATAGATAGAGGGCAAATCGGTTCGTGAAATCGGTTGTTGGTTTGGTGGGTGGGTGAGTGGAGGAGCTGTGGGCTGGGATTAGATTGGATGAGTTCGCTGACGAAAGAATAGGACACAATCGGAACAACTTTGCATGGTCTAGTGGGAATAACATTGTGAAATATCACAGTGCATAAGAAACTAAATGCGATGAGTTCAAGGAAGAATTCCTCATTAGCTTTATCACGAGAATCACGTATTTTCCAGCGGAAATATGTTACAAAGGAGAGCCTTCAATACCGATGGCAATGCGTGGGGACTGTTCCAATTAGCATGGATTTGTGCCTGTTCACGGTTCCTTTTTTCGGGAGGGCGGGGTGGGGGGTGGGTGGGGAGATGGGAGGCAAAAGGAATTGTGAGGGGTGGTTTCATTCCAGAATACATCGAGAAGAGGGTCGTATATAGTTAGAATTTTTCAAATGAAAGTGGCCATCAGGGAATGTGAAGGATAACCAGGAATAGTTTGAGATTTATAAAAATTCCACTTGAATTTAGTGGCTACCTTCATTCAGTTCGTTTTGCTTTACAGCAGTCTATACAGAAAAACGCTTGAAAGCTAATTCAGCATCTAATGAAAAATAAGCAACAATGGATGTTGACTTTGTTACATTTTTTCCGTTAGAAGAGAGACAGTGAAAGATCTTTTCAAATGCACTGATATTTCCGAACGCCGAGTTTGGTTTTCAGATTCTTCAATGAATATGTTTAAAGTTTGGGTGGAACTTAGCCGGGAAAATTTACTGATGACCGATAAAATTGTTTACACAATCCCAACTATTAACCAGGATTGCCTTTCGCTAGGTATAGACCCCTTTAAATCATAGGTCGAAAGTAAGCACATAACTCCAGTGATCGTTGCCAACTGGTTACTCCGATATATTGGGTTCATATAAAACATTATTTTGTAGTAAATTAGTAGTCACTTTAGGCTACAACTTCCTGAGTATCCATGGAAATGTGATTTTAGCGTACGTCTACTTACAAGTAGCCAGTTCTGGAACAAGCAAACATCAGCAGTTTCATATTATTACGTTGTGCGAAATTGCAGCGAGTCATGTCTGAAAGTTTCGTTCTCATTGAATTTTTCTTCCTTCATCGGCTAGCATGTTGTTTCTTCTCTGGGTATAACCAAACTCTTTCTTTGAACTGATGCCAACTAACGTACGTTATATGTTAAGTTCCATTTCAAATCAGACAGACACCATAGACTGATGCTCATCCGAAGAGCATTTCTCGGCCTTTTTCCTTGCTACCCTAATGGCAAAAAGATCTCGCGTACTTCATGTTCGTTTGACAATATAATATCAGCAGCATAATATTGGCAAATCTGGTCCCAAATCTTCTCTGTTTAACATTAGCAGTTAGAATAATTCCCGGTCAAGATGGGTTTCGTAGGCATCTAGCCAAACCAGCTTCTATCCGAGCACCAAGGATACTTCATTTGACGCGCTTCGTCTCTGGCTGAAAACATTGAATTTCATTTCATCATGCCTATGTGCAAACATGTACTTTAGTTACTGAAATATAAAAATCCGTTTATCTGTGCAAACCTGATTTTTATACAGGGCTACAAGGTATTTTTCACAACCAGACCAGAGGATACTCTCAGTTCGTGGCTGGTGTCGCGCACAACTCAAGAACGTCAGCATCTGACCGATCTCGTTCCAAATGCAACCTATTATCTCAAAGCAAATGCGTATAACGCTGCTGGTGATGGTCCGGTCAGTGATACTTTTCCCGTAATAGTCACTCCTGGAGGTAAGTGTTTTAGTCCATTTGACATTTTTGCCTCGCAGACTAGATATCCTTTCATTAGAACCATTTCTTTTTGTCACGTTTACATAGTCTGCACATGTAAAATCTCTTGCCTTTTCCCATTGAATATCCACCTGCCTTCTTGTGTCTTTTATTTTGGTGGCTCTGAAGATGGTAAGTTCTTGTTTAGCTCCATATTTAATCGGCCAGAATGCATGTCACACATATAATGCACCAAGCGTTCCAATAGGACTCACGGACACTGTATGCACACACAGACACACACACAGACCGACTGATTTCGGGTATCATAAACGCATAGATGAGTGAACTTCACAGCACTATTGCTTGCGTCAGGCGAATTGTTAAAGTCACCCTTCCCGTACACTGATCTACACACACACACATCTCCACCTCTCACAGGAGTGCACCACTGATCAACCTCAAAGAAAGACGTAAATTACACGATGCGTTGTTGATTGCATTTTGTTATGTA